ACTGCGTCAGCATTGGTAATTTAGCTGCCTTATTATTGCCTATTAATTGTCTTATCGAATATATTTATAAATGGCGAGGAGCAGGATCTGTAATGTGTACTCCAGGAGTTTTCTGCTGCTCTCGCTGATGCACGAGAGGAGAATTATTTCCAACTCTGCTTTCCGAGGACTCTCTGGACGAACTTGTCAAGAGATGCTCTATGCACGCTTCGATTTCGTATGGCCAGAGAGAACGGCCTATAATGGATGGCGGAGCTATCTCATCTGAGGGCATCAAGCAAACTAGTCTTTAACCTTTAAGGTTATAAGGCTATATGCCCAGCCTGGATATGGAGTCCCGGAGACTCTCAAATTATAAGCGAAAATTACGAAGGTGGTAAATAGGTCCTATACTGAAAAAGTGCGAAATAATTAAGTTGTATTTTAAGGAACCGAAAACAATTATCAAACTTTCGACCATGGAAAAAGATGCCGCCTATAGGACCCAGCTGCGATTGGACCAACGCGTACTGTATGGATGGATCGGTTAGGGAGGTGAAAAGAGAGGCGAGACATATTTTCCGCAATAAGAAGAGAGAAGCCATAATATGGAAGTGCGAAAAGCTTAAAAGCTGGCCGATAGGTAAAACGCCCAAAAGTTTTATCAGAGAGTTACGCGACTTAAGGAAGGTTTCAAGACCAGGGCGAACTCCTGTAAGAACAACAATGGTGTCCTAGTGACCAATGTCCATGGGCCCCTTTATGCTGTAACCTAGTAGTGCACACTAGTACTTTATTTAGGGCACTTGCCAAGTCGATCAGCCTCAAGCCGGTATCGTCATCTGCGTCATCTGCGGCAGCACTCTGTAAATCTCAGTCCTTTATACGTTTGCCGTGGTTGTCGTTAAAAGAAGGTAATCTCATACGAGACTTGTTTATAATTTTCAGTTTAGTAAACTGAAAGATATTTCCAAAAAATAACTCCAAGAGCTGCTTTGGTACGCAAAAGGCGTTGACTTCCTAAATGGTGTATACTCTAATACAAACTAAGGATCGATCTCCATCTGGTATCACGTGGCGCTAGGGAATAAAAGCTCTATGCGTGGCGCGTAGCAAGTCGGATTAACTTAACCTCTTCTCATCAATATTTTATCAGGATTTTGAGGTCAATTTAAACAAACTAATATAGTTTGTATGTATGTATCTCAAACAGTTCTAGGAAACTACGGTATGAAACGATCGGAATCCAGTTGCATACGTACATATGTATATATGTAGTCTATGTTTATAAGCATTTGTATGTACGTACACTAGGGTGGTCCAAAATAAGTAATGTCGGAATATTAATGCTCTCACCCGCTAGGATTGTTGTGTAACAAAAAAATACACCCCTATTTTTTTTTAATCAAAAACTATTTAGAGGTCTCTCATAGCATTCAAAGCTTTCCATGTATTTTATATGGGCAAAAATCAACTATTCGTAGAAATGGTATAGAGTTCTTGAAAATCAATATTTTGCGATAAGGAAGCCTTGCTTTCCTGCAGCATACTTCCAGTAATAATAATCAATTGTTTATTGAACCATTTTTTAATACTAAAGATTTTTTATTGGGGCCCCTAATGTATTTTCTGGGGTTTTTGGCGGATCTACTAAATATAGTTACCTTAAAAAAATGGCCAAATAAACAATTGAGTATTATTACTGGGAATCTCGTGAAGATAAAAGAAGTTTTCCGATCGAAAAATATTGATTTTCAAGAATTCTATACCATTTCTACGAAAAGTTGATTTTTGCCCATACAAAATACATGGAAAACTTTCAGCGCTTTTTTCGGTATAAAACAAACCTAGCGGATGAGAGCATAAAAATTCCGACTTTACTTTTTCACATGCAGTTTTGGANAAATGGGATTTTTGAAACATAATTGGGTTGAAAAAAAAAATTGCATGACTCCGTCAGCAAACAAAAAATATCAAAAACCAATGGGATTTCGTTTCATAATCAAACTATCACATCAATATATTGAAATTGAATTATAGCCAAGAGAATACCAAATAATTTTCAATGTTTTGCTTACACGTGGCAAGTACAATAACCATACCGAGTTTAGTACAAATTGGTAGAACGGTTACCGATATACATAAAGTGGGCGGTGCCACGCCCATTTTCCAAAATTTTACCATAAGCGTATTTCTTGGTAAAGAATTGTTGCAATCATCAATTTTGAATAAATTAGCTTCAATATTTACTGATTTATCGAAGATTTTGTATTTCTCTAAATTACCGTTATATGGGAAGTGGGCGTGGTTATTGTCCGATTTTAAAAATTTTCGGCCATTTGGTATGCTGTGCGAAGGCCAACAACTGTCCCAAGTTTGGAAGATATTGGTGCAGCGGTTCCTAAGATATACACATGTAACCATAAGTGGGCGTAGCTACTCCCATTTTCCAAAAATGTATAATATTCTTATTTTTCGTCTAAAAGTTATTGTAAATATCAATTTTGAGTGAATAATCTTCAGTAGTTACTAAAATATCGCAGTTTTCGTATTTCTGGAAATTACCGTTATATGGGAAGTGGGCGTGGTTACAGTCCGATTTCGCCCATTTTCAATACCAACCTACCTTGGATTAAGGGAAACCTACATACCAAATTTCGTTGAGATATCTCAATTTTTGCTCGAGTTATCGTGTACAGGCAGACGGACAGACGGACGGACAGACAGACATGGCTTAATCGATATTACGATTCGTTTTGGCTGTTACAAACAACCGTTATGTGAACAAAATTAATATACCCTTGTGCACAAGTGCGCTCGGGTATAATAATGCAAAACCTCATAGTCTCAGTCTTATTTCAAAACGATCCTCTCTTGAGCAAATCTCAATTTTGGCACAAATATCAGTTGCGAGGCTTGGCAGAACCACAATACGCGGTTTGGCACTTTAAAAGACGATATTGGATATTTTTTTTTTTTTTAAACAAATTGTAAATACATATAAGCTTATCAAAATTCAAATCAGTTATGAACTTTTTTGCTCACCCGCCGGTATGCAATAGATAATTAATTGCACACAAAATAAACACTGAACTAGTCTAAACATAGGAAAATGTGGTTATACATATATTCGCAAGCTTGTAGTTTTTTTGTTTTTGTTTTTATTCACTTAATTTTGCAAATTTCTTGATTTACAATACTCCGTTTGAAAACAAGCGATGTGCACATCAGAGACAAGTTAAATGTTGACTGATTCATGCAATCGCACAAAACGTACGCGTATATTCTCACGTTGAGAGGAGTGCCGATGCTGATAGTATTTTCTGTTATCTTCGCTTTAGTAAATCGATTAACTAACAACATACTTATGTTAGATTCATGTACCTACATACATATGTAACTATGTAGCTGCCAATCAGCAATCAATGATTATTAATCAAGCATTTGTAAAGGAGATCTCGAGAAGAAATGATGGATGTCAAGTTCTTAAATTGTCATTGAAAAGTCGTAGGTAGTCAAGTAGCAATGCTGTTCTGTCAAATAAAGTACCTAATAAAGGATTTTAACATCTTGCATTCCTTTAGGCAAAAGGCAAGGTAAAACTCGAAGTACTTGTTCTTATAAGAAAAGCGCTGGAAATCATTAACCCTCTAGTAGGCCAATTTTTTTATGAGCCCAAAAATTCAGTTATGGGTGATTATGGCACGAGAAATCCGAAAAAGATGTCCATTTACTTCTGTGATAATAACTTTTTTCTACAGGTAAGAAAATTGTATTCCGTCTCCAGATGGTCTTGCCTAATAATGGGCGCGTTCATAAGACGTAGCTGTTGCCCTATCGTTGGCTATTTGTCTTAGAAACGCACAGTTGAGAAATTTCGCTCAGCTCTCAATAGTCGGCAAATTTCCGGCATTTTTTTTCAACAGAAAATTTGTACGCTACCTGAACTCAACGTGTTGGGTTTAGCATAAACAGCCGATCGAAAAGTTTTACGTCGCTTATTTATATTAAATTTAAGGCCGCTTTGTTAGGTGGCAGTTGCAAACAAATTTATTATATTTTATATTACTGATGTGATAAAGCAACTAAAATATATTATAATAGTACTACGTTTCTAAATATATGTTTTTTAAGATGTTTGCTATATAATTATANGGCCGCTTTGTTAGGTGGCAGTTGCAAAAAAATTTATTATATTTTATATTACTGATGTGATAAAGCAACTAAAATACTTTATAATAGTACTACGTTTCTAAATATATATTTTTTTAAGATGTTTGCTATATAATTATACACTGTTTATTTCATTATAACATTGAACGATTTTTTCAACACGCCGGCAGCTCAGCGTTGAATTCTAAGTACTATCGGCGCAAATATCTCTATTTATTGCAACTTCATTTGTTTACATTTACATTTCAAGCCGTTTCTAAGACGTAATTTTTGGGTCCAACAATTGCCAGCAGTTTCGTAGCTGTTGAGCTAAACCGCTACGTCTTACAAACCCCCCAATGAAAACATAATTATTTCCTTTAATCATTAAAAAAAAAAAAAAAAAATATATCAGAAAAATTATGTATATTCAGAGGAAATGCATGTGCATATGTAGGGTTTTGTAATATTTTTATTGCTATGGAACACATATAGAACAACAATTTGTATTATTAAAACACGGATTCAATTGACACTTGGAGCATCCAATTTTGGTTTTAGACTTGCATGTCTTTTTAGATTTCCTATCAACATTTTTGTCGATATAAAATATTTTGGACCACCCTAATGTGTACACGGTTTTATCAATGTATTTTATAATGATTTTATTATTTATTGATTTTTAAGTAACTTCTATTTTTCATTATCCTCGATATCGAACAATGTAGATAAGCATTTTCAACTAAACGAGTGCATGGATATGCTGTCCCCGTGCGATAACTGTGCATACATTAACTTGGTAGTCGCCCCCATATTTCTCTGAATGCTTAACGCCTCCTACTGCCAGTCGTTTCAAATTCTTATATGTATCTTAAACACTTCATTCATGATCGTATTTCACTTCCACATCTGCCTCAATTACTTGCTGCAACATTTCAGGTATCTCGGTAAAATCGACAGCGGCCACCGGTTCTCTGGTGCATATAAATCCATGCGATGGCTTGGAACTAATAATTCCAATTAAATGCCATCGGCCATTTCTTCTCTCAACAACGCCACTGCCACTGTCGCCCTGACACAAGTCTGCCCCCTTACTTTTCCAGTTAGATGTGGGGCGCACACAAAATTGATCCGCCGTAATTTGGGCGTTGCAATCACGACCGGATAGAGTTTGCACTGCGGTTTTCGGGAATTCTATTTGTCCTCGATGTGCGCTTCGTGTAGGCCATTTGTGCACGTTTGCATTTTTATTCACTGTGTTGCCCGACGACGATGTAAATTTATGGCAAATTGGTCTTATGTTTTTACTCAAAATGTAGGGTGTGCTTAGTTTCAAAACAACAGCATCGACCGAGCTGTGTGAAGGAAGAGAGAAGAGAGAGGGTGGGAAAAAGTTTAAAAGAAGTTATCAAAGGCAGGTGGTTCTTAAGTTATATTAATGGTAATGGTAATGCTTATGCCAATGGCAATGTTAATGATAATGGTAATAGTAATGGTAATGTTTATGATAGTGGTAAAGGGAATAGTAAATAGAATGGAAAAGGTAATGGTAATTGTAATAATAATAGTAATTGTAGTGGTATTAGTGTTAGTAATAGTTATGGTAATGGTAATGGCAATACTAATTCTAATGGTAATGTAAATAGTAATGATAATGGTAATGGTAATGTAGATTGTAACGGTAAGGGAAATTGTGGTAATCGTAATCTTAATGATAATGGCAATATTAATGGTAATGCTAATATCATTGGTGATTTTATGTTGATAATAATGGTGATTGGTAATAGTATTGGTAATGCTAATAGTGATGGTATCGGCAATGGTAATTGTAGCAGGTCCCATGTCATGGATATACATATTTACCGATTGGCATATATATTCGATACGTTTTCAGTATGCGTGACAATGGTGTTGTTTTCGAATCTCTTAGCGGCGACTACTTGAACATAGTTTGCGTCGAGGACTTCCTCATTCTCGTCAAACACGCAATGTAGAGCTGCAACAATAACAAATGCATTTATTCAATCCTTTACAAAAACGTATGTGTACATATGTATCACTGTTGGCAATTTTGTTTTTTTATAAACTGTACATTTCCAAGAAAAAAACTGTATTTTAAACTAAAAAACTGCAATCATATTGAAGCAGCAGAACTGACTAGAGAGCCTCGCGGCACTGTGCATCTAGGGAGCGCTGAGGTCCACTCCAACGGCTGCTCTTGAGGCAATCCTCAGTTTACCGCCCATTGACCTATTCGTGGAAAACCGTGTTGCTAAATCAGCAGGTAAATTCACAGCATTTAGGCACAGCTCGATTGGGGCGGGAAGCACAGGCACCACGGACTACATGGAACTTAACTTTAAGTATGAACGAAGGATTCACACAACGATTGAGGTGGAGGCGACGGACGGCTCTAAATGGCACCTGGAGTTGGCGCAGGGATTTATTGCCGGGAACCGCACGTCAGGCGGGCAGAAGGGTTACCTCACCATTGCAGCATATTTCAAGAAGAGGCTGAGGATAGCAGCAGAGCTAGCCTACTCCGAAACGACAATCTATTCAAAAGTACGTAGACAGTCAGGCGACAATTAAGGCAGTTACCTCATATAAGTACTATATCGTTCATAAATGTCCTTCGCAGCCGGGGAGCCATTGACAGGCTAGCCATTGACCCGGCCACAAGCGAATAGAGGGTGACGAAATAGCATAAGAGACTGCCAAGAACGCCACCAGTCTGATTCTCGAACACACAAACTACATTCGTTGACCACTTCAACACTTCTACAATGAAATAGGCGATAATATGATTAGGCAGTTCAGGGCTAGAGTTAACCACTTGCAAAACTGCAAAAATTAGGTGCGAAAAAGGCGGAAGCAACTATAGTCGCTTCTTGTTACGGCTACCAAAGGAAGAGTGCAGAGCTATTAACGGATTGTTTACAGGGAACATGCTGGTGACTGCTCCTGCACTAAAAATGGGTATCACTAGCGTGGACAGATGCAAGCAGTGTCGTGAGTGGGAGACCAGGGAAGCATTGGGGCCTCTTCTATGCCGATGTGCTGCACTGCCAAANATTACCTCATATAAGTACTATTTCGTTCATAAATGTCCTTCGCAGCCGGGGAGCCATTGACAGGCTAGCCATTGACCCGGCCACAAGCGAATAGAGGGTGACGAATTAGCATAAGAGACTGCCAAGAACGCCACCAGTCTGATTCTCGAACACACAAACTACATTCGTTGACCACTTCAACACTTCTACAACGAAATAGGCGATAATATGATTAGGCAGTTCAGGACTAGAGTTAACCACTTGCAAAACTGCAAAAATTAGGTGCGAAAAAGGCGGAAGCAACTATAGTCGCTTCTTGTTACGGCTACGAAAGGAAGAGTGCAGAGCTATTAACGGATTGTTTACAGGGAACATCCTGGTGACTGCTCCTGCACTAAAAATGGGTATCACTAGCGTGGACAGATGCAAGCAGTGTCGTGAGTGGGATACCAGGGAAGCATTGGGGCCTCTTCTATGCCGATGTGCTGCACTGCCAAAAAAACACGACCAAACTGCTTGGGAGTCTACGTGTGGCTCAATGCCGCACAGTGGTTCGAATAGCAGATCTAGCTGGACGAAAGGCAAAATTTTATTTGTTTTTAAATTACTTTGTGATACCTGGAATACATATTTAAATATAAATTGCATCATTTTTCATTTTTAGTTTTTGAAATGCGTTTATATTTGTATTCATTCAGCAACCCAGAAACCCCCCATATAGCCAGTTTTAAAGAAATCTATTAATATTTTTAATTTTTCATCCGCCGGATTGGATCTGCCANCATTTTATTTGTTTTTAAATTACTTTATGATACCTGGAATACATATTTAAATATAAATTGCATCATATTTCATTTTTAGTTTTTGAAATGCGTTTATATTTGTATTCATTCAGCAACCCAGAGACCCCCCATATAGCCAGTTTTATAGAAATCTATTAATATTTTTAATTTTTCATCCGCCGGATTGGATCTGCCATTTGGAATTTTTGGTAAATAACTTTATATTCGTAATCAGCGAACCAGAAAACCCCCAGATAAGAATTGGCTTCATAGAAATCTATTAGTTCTTTAAATCTTCGCCCGCCATATTGGAGAAGAAAAAGATCTTCGCTAATCTAATCTTCAAAGAGCGGGATCAATTTTTTTCCTATCTGAAAAATCAAAACGCAGGTTATCCAGAAAAAGTGTAATCAATGCCGGCCAAAACCGGGCACTAGAACAAAAACACTTTTGAAAAAAAAAAAAATTGGAAATAATTTAGTCTCACAATATCACTTTTTAGAAATTAAATTTAAAATTTTAAAAATTGAATAAAGAACAAATTAATACATGTGTATATAGATGGTACCCAATTACTTGCTTCATAAGAATCCATGGCTTTATTTTCAAAATTTTATTCAGAGTGCATCTATTCTGAGAATGTTTCAAAGCCAGGTATTTTAATCATGAAAATACATTATTATCGAAAATAATGCATTNAAAATTTTATTCAGAGTGCATCTATTCTGAGAATGTTTCAAAGCCAGGTATTTTAATCATGAAAATACATTATTATCGAAAATAATGCATTCCAGTCTTGGCCTACTAAAATTTAAATTTTGTTGAATTCGGGCCAGTTTTGGGAAATGGCGTTTTGGCCGGCCAGATTGATGAAATACCCCTATGTGAGGTGATTGCATTTTTATTTGTACGTGTATTAGATAATTATCTGGTACCAATTTTTAAACTTACCCGTTATTACAAGATTTGTGGAAAGTATAGTACCGCCACATACGTTGATCGACTGCGCTTTGATACGAACGTGCCATGGTGCTTTCGACGATGTTGGATCTTGTTCTATTTTCCCACAACTCGGCATGCAATTGACTTTTTCTTTATTCCATCTACCATCGTTTCGACACAACATGGTGAAGGTGGCCTCTAACCTAGGGATACAAGTATATAAATTAATTTCAAACAAAATCCAGACAGCGCATACATACAACAAAACAATCGAAAATAATGTTTGAAGGTAAGCGGCAAAAAAACGGACCTTGCATTGAAAGCGGCAGTTTAGGATATGGATTTTTTTTAGATAAGGTAATAACAGAGAAAAAACTGTCAAAAACACTGCGCCTAAAACTAAGCCGCACAAATTTTAGTAATTTAAAAAAAAAAAAAACTTTTTTGTGTATTTTCAAAGCGCTAAAATAAAGTTTTTTCGATTGTGAAGCTTGACTGCACACAATTAGGGGCGAATAGTTAGTGTTTTTCGAACCTTACCCGTTCGGCATGTGATAACCGTCGGCGCAACTTATTACCGCCACGGTATTGGGTTCTATCCTCTCACATGGCACTCGCTCCGTATAGCGCTTGCAGTCGGCAATCGTTGATCGACTACGCACTAAAAGGTCCGCGTTACAGAACTCTGAAAAAGAGGAGATAAATAAATACATTAGAAAAATGGAAACATACTATCCGCTGGTCAGTGGAGGTACTTCGAGGAAACCGAGAAACCTATATATATGTATCCTTGCTAGTACCATTACAAACATTTTGTTTCCCCCTCAATTTAGCAACGAGCATTCAACAACGGTAAGCATAAACACAAACAAGAACTTTTTCATGACAGGGCAATTTCGAGGCCGATCGTTAAGTAGCTGTTGTGCAAATGCTTATCCTAATCTTAATCTTACCCTTTATATTAGGATTAAGATTAAGAATGAGATTGAAATTGAGGCTAAGATTAGGATTGAGATGAAGATTAAGATTAAGATTCAGGTTACGATTTCCATTAAGATTAAGATTAAGATTACGCTTAAGGTTAAGACAATGATTAGGATGAGGATTAAGATTAAGATTAAGATGTTGCTTAAGATTGTGATTATGATGACATGTGATTAAGGTTAAGATTAATATCAAGGTAAAGGTTAAATTTTAAGATTAGGATTAAGGTTATGATTAATATTACGATTAAGATTAAGTAGTGGATTAAGATAGAGGTTAGGTTTATTATTAATATTTAGATTATGATTAAGATTGGGATTAAGATTAAGATTAGGATTAAGATTAAAATTAAAATTAATATTGGGATTAAGATTAAGATTAGGATTACGATTAAGATTAAGTTTGAAATTAAGATAAGGTTAAGATTAAAATTAACATTAAGATTACAATTAAGATTAAAATTAATATTGAAATTACATTAAGTCGGAAAAATCAAGCTACACCAACATATTCGGCATTATCATGAGTTTTCAATTTGCCTGACCTTTTCACTTTTTGTGCGAAAATTTTTTCGGGCGAAAGTCACGATAAGGCGAATTAAAATATTTGTTAATTATCACGCAAAAAACATTAGCTATATGGGTAGTAGGAAATGTTTCGCAACAATCAGCCTTAAATTTCACGCAAAATTTGTTTATGATACTGGGGGGATTGACCTTTCATAGGCCCTTTTCGTTGCTTGCCCATCCTACTGTCTATATCTTCGATTGATATAATAGAATTTCTTAGATTGGTTTTGAATGCATACTTACGAAGGCACTTTGGTATTTCGTCATCCCAACCATTTCGACCACATATGCGTACTTCTTGAGCTGTACTCGTCGAGAGTGTAGAGTTATTTTTGCATTTGATCGTAATGCGAGTTTCAACATCGACCGAGGAGCCAGGTGTTAAATGCACATTTTCATTGTCATTACGTATATCGTGGTTTGCATCGTAAGTAATTTTACAAACATTCGCAGCTAGTTGCAGCCGTATCCTTGGTACGGTAGACAAGGCGGCCGGACAAGAAGCGTAATACACATTTTCATCTGATCCATCAATACAGTCTTTCTTGCCATTACATTTCCTATTATTGGCAATGCAGCCGCCATATTTACAACGAAATTCCTCGCACTGCTTCAACGAACAATATGATTCACTTTCATCGCTGCTATCCTCACAATCCGCTTTGCCATCACAAAACCATTCTTTTGGGATAAATTCACCAGACTCACAAGATAATTCATCAGGATTGCTGAAAAAGAGAAAAATAATAATTGACAGTTTCATCTGTGACTATGCGTTTCCATCGAGTCCAAAATAATTACAAATCTTACTTGTTTTTGTTGCAATTAAGCTTCCACTCATCGGAGCCGTCGGCACAATCACTAATTCCATTACACCATGTTTCCAAAGGAATACATGCTCCATAATGACATCTGGCATTCAAATTCGAGCACTCTTCTTCTAGGCATGGACTTGATATGATACTATTTCCCTCGAACTCATCCGAGCCATCACTACAATCCTTATAGCCGTCACATACTTTGTAATAGGGTATAAGATAGCCATTCTTGCATGGAAAAAAGTCGTCTTCTTTAATTAGAAACAACATATTTTTTTTGTTCAGTATCTTTAACCTCAAGTGATAAACAAGAAAAAATTTTGTTGGCATTTGCGCACTGAGCACTCTCAAAGTGTAATTTTAAGTACATTAAGTAACACAATAATCTTCGCAATTTAACCAGTAAGTACATTTTGACATTCTTGCACACTTCTAGTACGCGCGTAATTTTCTCTGGCAATAAATTTATCTTGTCATTTGGTTTTAGATATACTATAAATATTTTTAAATTTCTTAAAACACACTATTATTCAATTTTTTTTTTTTGTTTACCCATGCTTTGACTCCGCGTACCGGCGATTGCTAAACTTATTGTAATTATGCACAAAATTTGTTTAATCATTTTTATTTTAATTCGGTTTTTTTTTTTTTTTAAATTAGCGGATCCAGACAAATAACAATTATATATAATTAATTTAGACTCTCTTACTGAGATTCATTATATATGTTGTTGTATGAATTCTTTTTTAATCCTTTTTCATAGCCGTTCCAAAGCGCGACGTTGTTGCATTGAACACTTTTGGCATTCAACTGGGTATTCAATTTCATGGCACCCCGTTTATGTTGCATTTATTTGTTAATACGCGATCAGATTACGCATATACAGCCAGCTGTTCATCGCTCTCTCCTGATAACTTGCAATAAATTGTAACGATATAAGTATGTATTGGAATTCCCGATAAGATTTCGCAGAAATTGTGCATTCAACCAACTATTTAGCAAATACGTAGACGCTTTCTTTCACTTAGTAATTTCGTTTTGATTAAGATTTTCATCATTATGAAATTCTATATTTATTTACTTTTGCTAGCAGATATGCAACTGAGAGAGTATGGGAAAATTAGGAAAATAATTACTTGCGCAAATGTGCTGTGCTTCTCTTAAGCTTGGATTGATTTTGCAGGCAATTGATTTTAAATATTTAGTTTGGTGAAGTGTCTCCTTAAATTTGTGGCGCTCTTATTTTCTATATATATATATATGTGTAGCTACTTACGCTTCTGTGTATAGTGAATGATTTTTGAAATGTTTCATTTTATTCCCTTTCTTAATCAATAAACAATATGCTTACAGACTATATGGTTGATCATTAGACTGGCAACATTAATTAAAGAAAATAATAAAAACACCACTGTCCCAACTTCCAACTGTCCAGTGTACCTGGTCACCATCTAGTGCACATTTACTTAAGATGATTAGTGACAATATCAAAAATTATAAAGATGCTTCGTCTTCGTAGAAGTAACTAGTCTCTGTGTCATCAGGATCTGCTTTTATAGCTTCAAAGTTTGGGGAAACAATGAGTTTGAACAAAATGCAGTGTAAAACGTGTAAATACCTATTTGTATAATAAAAAACTGAACTTCTGATGTCAGTTAGGCACTACGTTCACATTAGAAGTTGAGGGTCGTGTCAGAAAGTTTGAAATTTTTGCGAATCCCAATTGCTATAAATTTTAGATTTTTGACAATTTTTGCCGATATAATTGGGGCATTTCTAACGCAACGTTTGGGCAAGTTTTAATAAAAAGGATTTGCTTATATGTACATTTGTTTTATTATTATCACCAGTGTTGCCGTTTTGCCAGAATTCTATCAAATTTGTTAGAATATTTTTCTAAATTTTAATTTTGGTAGAATGGTAAATTCGTTTTCCATTTGGTAGATTTGGCCAGAAGATTCACTTGACTTCATTCATTTCATAGAAACGACAAATATAAAGCCGGATTCATCGTTCTACAGTTCGGAACTTGTCTTCCATGTGCTTGATTTTGTGTTTCTCTCTCTCTCTCTCTGGGAGACGAAAGTTCTGAATACTGTTGAGTTGTTCACTCAAATTCAACTTTAGTTCATGACTAGAACGCCGCATAATTGCTATATGGCGCCTCTGGTAAAATTTTCGGGCGTTTTTCCAGACGGTCAGCATCCACATTCATATTTCGGCCTCTCTCTTCTGGTTGCAGCAAATATGTCCCGCTTCTCTTTTCATCGGCGATTGGCACCGCCTTGCCCACGGGCAAACTCTATTGAGCTTTCTGTACATTTTGTATAGGCGCGTGCAAAGTAAAAGCTCTCTCTGCCCATCGCTACCTTATATGGATCTACTCAGCGCGCGTTACGCTAATCGCAGCGATGCCTTGTAGGTGACATCTTTTTTCTCTGCAGCTACTTGACACTCCTCATCGTACCAGTTGTTCTTTTGAGCTCGCTGAAATCCGACTACTTCTTCGGCGGCGGTATGTAATGAGTGGATAAAGTGGCTACATTGCTCGCATTTGTCAGTTTGTTGAAGAGTGCTCTCTGAGATCAGGTATGAGAGTCGAGTGGCTATCCGTGCATGGCGGCGATGTCAGCTTTTGTCCTTGCGAGGACATCAACCAGCCGGGTAGAGGCACCTAGCCTCAACTCGTTGTCCTCTAAACGTTTTCCTGTGTTCGTCATCAAAAAGGGAGTTGTGCGGGTTGTGCGGGTTGTGCGGATGGTCCTATCCGAGACTTTATTTTCCTTATTCACTGCAAGAGGTTTCTACGTGGGGGTTCGTAAGGCCAACGCACAAACCATTGCTGGTAGGGGGTGGTTTCTTAACCGAACACACATTTATATTGAGAGCCGCTTGCTTCACACAGACAGACGTATGCTTGCAGCTGCACCTGCTGGTGAACTAACATACGCTGCAGCTTCAGTGAGCCCTTAAACCGAATGAGCCGGAGTGGCCCACCGACGCTCCCTCTCTTTTCGCACACACACAAGGCTCCATGCGGATTGATTGCGGCATCTTCCACATGAGTGGCTCACGTTGCCCGTAGTGCGCGAACGAGGACGCAAGAGTCGATATTGAGTATAGCCATTGCAATGTACGGCCTAAGTCTATTGAAAATATTTGAAATAGGGGTAAAACCACTCTGCTTACCATGTAACAGTAATTTTCAGTATGATCTAGAAAATACTTTTAATACGTGCGCCGGGTGTTTAGTATTCGGCTTCGCCCGAACTTAGACCTTTTTTACTTGTTCTAACTATGTATGTACATAGATAGGTGTGCATACTATATATGCGGTGACCATCTGTCCTTTACTTACTCTATTTTAACCCCCTGTCCTTTATAATTTTTTTTTTCAAAATAAAGGACGAAATTACTGCGTTAATAATTATAATTAAAAACACGGTTAAATGTTTTTTGTTAGTTTTTATTTTTTTTATTTACTCATTTATGTATTTATGTATGTATGTATGCATGTTTTGGTATTAACGCTGATTTATTAGTTTTTTTTTTTAATTAAATTTACATAATTAACTTTTGTATGTATATGTATATTGGTGTGTGTACCTGTTTACTTATGTATGTATATGATGCATATATTTGTACATACATACATATCTTGATGCACCTTTACATAAGTTTTCTGCTGCTGTCAATGCTGCCGCATGTAAATATGCGTGTACATATGTATGTACTTTATCATATTTTAGTACCTGGAATACATATATATGCGTATGGATATGTGTATACATATTTAACTTAAATGTATACTTTTCATATTTACCAGACTAATTATTCTTAAGTACGTTTATGCGGTTGTACGTAGCAGTTAGTACTTTCATATTTTTTTTTTTTTTGTAGATCTTTCGATTTCTTCGAGTTACCCATGCTTAGCTGTTGCATAGACTTTTTTTTTATTTAACATACATATTTCATAAGTATGTAGTACCATTATTCAAAAAAAAAAAAAAATAAACAATCCATGCCAATTTTTAGAACCGTCATCAGCGAAGTAGCCTTATTTTTGATTCCAAGCTTAGACTTGCTGATTGGTGGATATTTACTTTTATATTTTCATCTTTTTCAATCATACTTTCAGGCGCTACATATCATATTTTATAAATACGATTATCTTTTTGCGCTTAATACATGTATTTGTACAATCATACTATTTCATAAAATTTATTTACCATAAGCATAGAGCATTTTCTGTGTCTTCTTAAAAGCGATACGCAAGCTGAGCACAGATAAGGCGGAACATCTTGAAATACGCCGCAGTTTTGCCTAAAGAAGCTTTTGCTGGGTTACGAGCATATAATTTTTGGTTCAGTTTGTTCTGCTTGCTTACGCCAATTGTCAGCTAATTAGAAACTGTGCGAAAGCGAATGGGTGTTAAATCTTTTATAGGTAAAAGAAAAATATGGAAACCATTCACCATACCGAGGCAACATAGAGCATACGTTAGTTACTGCAATTGAGATCAAATAAATCTCATATCTAACGAAACACTTTTCAACAATCCTTTGAAGGCTTTCATAACTCTTTCGCCCATACTGAAACTTTACGTCTGCTCCAAAACAACACTTTGATATTTTTTAAATGGTTTGAGAAGTACATATACATATGTATGTACATATATCTTAGCTTCAAAAATATCAGAATACAACTTCATATTCCTTCGTAAAAAGTGCTGCCGACATCTCGTCTGGATTCGCGTTAATTCTCACCCATATACATACACTGTCTTGGATGTGTTTCAATTGCCTTTCGTGTATTTCAGTCAGATTTTTTCATACAATTTTTCACCACATCCCACTTAAAATTGTTTGTATGTTCTTTATAACTTAATCCGTTAGGTTAACAAGTTGAATTAAATTTGACATCGCATCGTTCCTAATAAGTTGACCATTGGCGTGTGTGTTTATGCTATGGTATGTACATGTATGTATGTATGTATGCAGGTGTACGTGTATTTACATATGTATGTGAATATACTGTAATTTGATGTGAAATTTTGAAAAGCTTTTGTAAAAGAGCTACATTTGTATGTATGTATGTACTTTTGTAACTTCGTTTTCCTTAACAGACTAGACTCGGACGACGCCGACTGTGCAGTACTTCGCGTTTTCGTATAAACGAAGCTGACGGCGAAAACGAATTTACTAATTATACTAAATCGCTTGAAATTCAGTACGCTTAATTACATTTAACATTCGCCGCCAAAAAAAAAGAAAACAGTTTCCTGCGCAGGAGACTTTCAAGTACCGTTAAAAAAATTATATAATTAAAATTAATTAAAATTGTTTCATGTTGAGCAAATTAAAAATTTATGTTTCGATATTTCGGGTGCTTCTAATAATTTAGTAGTGACTATATGTATAGTTGTATATGTAAAAACTTTATGTCTTACGTAGAAGTTTATACACTTGCAAAAAAATAACTACATACTTGAATATGTATGCATGTATGTATGTAAGTACTACTTATTTACAGAATGCGCTCAGTGAAAAATTATAAATAGTTAATTTCATAAACATTTTTAGTTACTACATAGTACGTACTTTCTTTCAGTAATTTTTAATTTATTATTATGACCTTTTTTATTTTACTGTATTTTATGTTATTTTATTTATTTATTTG